ATTTTTTGCTTGGTCATCATCCTTCCATGCACCAGGAACCTGGCTCAGAGAGATTTGCCTGGCTGCTTCTGGGCTTTCTCATTTTCCGATGACTCACACATACAACGTACACAGATCTAATCTATGTGTACAAGCCTTATTTTGGAACTTTCCTCCAGTGTGGGGAGGAAACTTGTGGATTCAGTGCACACAGGCCGGACCCATTCTGCTTATTTTGTAGGAGTTTGGTGAATAGCGATGGCACATAACATCAGCAAAACACAAACCTATTTTTCCTCCTTCCCTTTGAGAAAGTGTGTGATGCAAAATTCCCTCAACCCCACCTGGCTCATTAAAGAAAGGAAGCTATCCTGCCTTGATGAAGATCCGAACCCCGCCCTGAAAAGGTGACCCATTTCATGCTAATCCAGCTGCAGGAACAGGTGGTACCTTTACTGGACCATTAAGAAAATAAAACACAAAAATTTAAAGCATTTGGCGGATGAAAATGGAACATACTTTTAATCTTATGTGACTCATTCTGAAGCAATCCATCCTTTTGAGATCTACATTTTGAGGAGAGGGGCTGAAATGCTGGATGTGTTTGTGTGGAATGACTCCCTACTTTCCAGTGGGGCTTGACATCGCTTCAGGGTGTAACCTGTAGCTTCACACTCTGGCTGATCAACAGGAGAACTGGCAGAGATGATCTGTGCTTTTAGGTTGCTGGTCTGGCTCACTCTGGCTGAATATGGTTTGCAATTGGGGGGGGGGGGGTTGCTTGAGCAGGGGGTTAGCTGCTTTTTATTCTTGTTGACCAGGGGTTGTTGCTGTGGGGTCCCCCTGCGTACTGCCCAGCCCCTTGGCTTTGAGGTCAGGAAGTACCTTTGAGACGGAAGCTTATTGTCTCCGATTTCAGTCCAAAACGAGGATTTTGGTACCTCTTTAAAACAAGACACAGCACCATCACCCCCTTGATGGGTTTTAAAGCATATCAGGCCAAAAGCAAAATAAAAATGAAAGAAGACCAAAAAAAGTTGTGGCATCTTAAAGTCTAACTGCTCTACTTCACTGCAAGTTTTGTGGATCAAGTCCACTTAGACATGAAAGTGAGTTTACATGGCACATTTTAATACATTTATACATGACCCCCAGTTTGTTTTAATTTTTTTTTAAGGTTGATCTTCTTTCCTGGGGTTAAGACTTGACTACACCACCATCCCTAGACCTTTTACTTCTTTCCTTCCCCAAGAGGGACTTCGCTTGGTGCCAGAAATAAAGTCACTATGCAGAATTTCCAGTCTGGGATCTGTAGTCAGAAAAGTAACTTTTCCAAGCCTTTGTCTGTCACCAAACCTTCTAAAAGTCTCACACTTTCTTTGACTTCAGTACGGTGGTTCGTCATACATCTTTCCATGATAGTTTTCACTGGTGTTCCTCCTGGCTAACTATATGCTGATGCGCTTCTGAACTGTGCAGGCTCTTTCCACATTTGTAATGCCAAGGTTGAGTGGTATAAAAGTCAGGTAATGATAAGATTGCCAGGCGTCTGAGATAAGTGACCTGCTGTTAAGACAGCATAACAGCCTAACAGAAATAGATCTGGCTGAGTCGTATCAGATAATAATATTTGTTTAAGCTGCCAATGGAGCTGCAAAATACACACAGGGCTGGATCTCTAGCAGAAACGGACACTTGTCTGGTGTCTAAAATGCAGAATTCTTTTGACATTTTGATTTCCAATTCTTGCCAAACGATGTGATGTAACTCTGAGCCAGTGTGAACATTTAAATAACTCCAGCGTTTTTTTTTTTATGGTGGTGCTGTTCAAATTTAAGTTAAGGATAAGATTTTTTAAAAAGAAGAGGTTCTAGTAAGAAAACAATTATTTGTTTTTATGCTTTTCTGGGATGAGAGTCACAGATTAAGGGATGTTTTCGCTGCAAACCGACTATTGGAATTGCACCACCATATATGATGCAGAGCAGTTGAACTTGCTGCACAATAGCTCTTCATCACAGGGGTAGATGTAGTGTGTTTTAGCAAGGAGGGGGAGTGGTGGGCATACGGGTACAGCCGAGTCCGCAGAGTAAGCCAAGTTTTAGACTTGGCACTGAGTTCCAGTTCTGTTTACGATGTTTAGCCCTTCCTCCTTTCTGGTTGACCTTTCAAAAGTCACACACCGATGACATCCCTGCTTTTGCTCCCAGTAGATTCAGCGGGGGTCTGTTTGACTTTATTTGAAAAGTCAACCATGTAAAAGAAGGAAATAAATCATGCATATCTTACTTACTTGCCCTTGGCTTGATTGGAAGGGGAAATACCACAAGTGTCCAAATATAGCACAAATGATGAAACTCAGGCTGCCGTACTTTGGGCATATCCTGAGAAGGCGGGATTCTCTGGAAAAGACAATGATACTGGGAAAGGTGGAAGGCAGCAGGACAAGAGGAAGACCCAATGCGAGATGGATTGATTTCCTAAAAGAAGCCACAGGCCTTAGTCTACAAATGCTGAGCAAGGCTGTTCATCAGACCTTTTGAAGGTGTTCATTTATAGGTTGCTTTTATAGGTCACCATAAGGTGAAAGCAACTTAGGGGCACATAACAACAACAACAACAGTATAGCACTCACACTAGCTGATCGAACCCACCTTCTCTAAAACGGCCAACTTGTTTCTGAGAACAAAAGTTCCTTGACATCGGAAATTTGCATGTCAAGCTCGGCTGCCCGTCACCTTGCTTTCTGGCTGCAGGAGGCCTAATTTTAATTTATGTCCCGTGTGGTCGTTTTCAGAGTGGGGGGGGGATTTACTCCTCTGATTCTATTTTCAGAGAAAAGTTAAGAGTTGGCAAAGGAAGCTCTCCCCCCCCCCCGGCCACTCTGCTACTGAAGAGGGGAAAAGTGGTGGGATGGAAACCACAATATATGGGGGGTGGGGGGGGGGAGGGCAAGGAGG